AAACAATAAATAAATAAAATAAAAAAGTAAATAGTAATTCAACTTTTATTCTTATTATAAATTTTATCATATAAATCATCACCAAAAATATTATTGTATTGTAATGTAAACAATTCATTTGGCGCTAATAAAAAAATGGATATTAGAGTGGGGTAGGTTATTGATTTCTGTGTGGGTGCCATGTTGGGAGGGAATACCATGGAGGGTGTCTCTTGGACATACCATACGCAGAAGTCTACAGAGAATAAATAGGAGGGGTAGTTGCACCATTGACCCAGTGTTGAGTTGACATACGGTCAGTTCAGTCACTCGAACGTAATTCATCTTACGCCTTTGAAGTTTTTTATCTACGTATGTGAATTGTTAATAATTGTAGTAAAATCCTTGTGAAATTAACAATCCAATGCAATCCAAAACACTGCCCTTTCTTACTTACGTTCCAACCGTACAACTTTATATCCAAATCATCGGCATGTATCTAGTGTTTTAGGTATCTCATAAACGTTTTTCTAACAAAAATTGAATAAACATTCGTGACATCTAGTAATCACGTGAATGCGTATCTCGTGTTGCAATTTAATTTAAAGATATCGGTAACATTGATAAACCAATATGCAACGATAATCAGGCCTTAGTAGCGGTCAATTTTTTTGAAGAAAATAAATTTTTAATGACATAATTTTCATACGGTTGATCGACATTTGATCAAACTAAAAAAAGTACAAACTTAAAGAAACTTCTTTGTGAACAGTTTTCAAATTGTTTTTTTATTTGTAATTTAAATCAACTTATAAAATTGTTGATCATGCTAGAGAAAAACGAAAGGGAATCACTGCTTCTTCTTTAAAAGAATTAACCAGCATTGCAAGAAATCGCTTGTCATTACCTTTGGATGCAGAACTTACAATTGTTCTAGAACAAGATGGTGAGATCTTAAATAGCTATTTTGATGTTAACATGTGAGTAAGTTGATAATTTAAGTTTTGTCATTACTTTTATATTAGGAACGGAAGTAGACGATGAAGAATATTTTGCAACATTAGAAAGAAATACTAGTTTAATGATTCTGTATGGAGATCAGAAGTGGGTGGCAGCAGGAAGCAGTAAAGCTGCTTCTCGTTATATTGTTGTTGATGATGTAGATAACATAGAAGGTGGACAAAGAGGAGATGAAATCAGAAGGCGTCAGCCAACAATAGAGCCATTAGTTTCATCATTGCATGGAGATCCATCACATATATCATTGCTTGGTGGAAATGACTTAGAATTGCTCAGTGATATGGACCCAGATAGTTTAGCTGATATAGTGCCTGACAGGTATTGAATGCATTTTAAGTATAACTTAAAATGTTACAAAATATGATACTATCATAATGTGTAATTTGTTTTAGAATCTTCTTAGAACAATTGAAAGAAGCTTCAGGCAGATTTTTAGCTGAAAAACGACAAGCACAAGAATCGATGGCCCTTCTTCAGATGTATGCAAGTGGTGGAGAGATGGAGCGAGCGTAGGCCATGTGGGGGGTGGGCGCCCTCACACTGGCTAATATGTATCGAGTGCGACGTCGCATATTTTATAAAGGTCGCCAATTACAACAAACTTTAATCCTTTTTTGGAATTGAGCCCAACACATTTATAGTGCAAAAGTTCATTGCGCTATCTTCTACCATCATATTATTCATGAAAATTGAATGTTTGCATTGTCAATGAAAATCTTGAGATTCTTATATGCAAAATGTGGAAGGATGCAACGGTGGAGAAATATGTATAGGAACTAATAAGTTCCTATTTTTGACAGGTGGTCAAAACTTATTTCTGAAATATTTGCAAGTATTTACTAAATATGTGAACATTTAAATTTATTAGCAAAAAAGAAATACATTGAAAGTTGATGCTTATCTACACTATAAGTTAATACTATACTAATGCATAGTTATACTTTTTGTTAATAGTTACGTGGTTTTAGTCTTTTCATTTTGTAAAAATTTGTGGTATAAACATACCCCTTTAGTATTATTTATTTTGTAGAATATGACATAAGGAATTGCTTTAATGCAAAATGAGGTCTTAAATAACACACGCATAGTTGAATACATGCAATTTAGCCATTAAATAATCTGAATGTACTACATAAACAAAAACTATATAGAAATATCATGTCAAAGAAAACATTCCGTCACGATGTTGTCATATCAGTATTAGAAGAAGGACGACACGTTTCGTTTATGAACTTTTGTATGTAGATATATTATACCAAGCTTTAGTTCAACGAAGATTGATGAAATGTTTAAGACTGAATTTATAGAGAAAGAATGCATCCCCATTACAATCACCAATTCATTGTACACTAAATTTAGCGTGATAATAGGAAAAAACAATATCAGCTCTTTGATACCAAAGTTATGCATTTGATAAGAAAAACTGCAGAAAAAGAAAGAAAATGTGCAGGTGTTTCTGAAAAGATTATGCATATGGAAAATAATGTTATACTGAAATAAAATTTCATTATATCTATACTTGCTATAAAAGGAAAGTCAAGTTTATAACATTCTAAGATATTATTCTAACTTTTAACACCTGTATAATGATGTTTACTGTAAATCTTAAAAGCAGCAAGTTTAATGCTTATGTTTATTCTTTACAGAAACACTTTAAACAGAATATCGTGACATTCTTTGATATATACCTTAACATCTGTATACTACAAAATAACGTTTACATTTACTGTCATTTGGATATTTAAAATGCAACGATCAGCATAGATGTATTAAAAATTAATAGCATCCAAATGTGTCAGTAATTATAAATTTGTTCTGTATGTAATTTCTAATGATCTTTCTTTGTAAGGTATTGAAAAAAGTCATATTTTACTTAAACTTTAAGACATATTAGGAAACAGTTAATATATTTAATAGAACTGCCAATTAAAGGAAACAACTGATGCTCAATAATATCCCACCCACCAATGTCCTTTAAAGATACCATTTGCTTAATATGGACATTTGACATATTGCACTGAAGAAGCATTGTTATTATTGTTATTATTATTATATTCTTACGTATATTACATATTTGAATAACAATCTTATATAGTAAAATATATTTTTACATAAGTTACGTTTTAATAGAGGATAAAAAATTTCCATCTATGAGTTGTTGTAAAGTATTGGAAGCATCCCTTGATCGATTGCAGGTGTTACGCAATTGACAGACAGCCTCTTGAAGAATAAGTTCACTTTTTAGCAATTGCTTATTAACAGTTGATAATTCTTGAGTGGCAGTGCCAATTGTTCCCTCTACCATTTGTGTAAGATCCTTATCCAAAGTTTCATTGCATTCATCTATTTTATTATGAAACATGTCAATTCAAAGATTAAACATTTTTTCTTGAGTAAATTAGATATTGTATATCGTTTGTATATATAAAATACTCAGAATACTAAATGCTCTAAATAATTAAAGTTTTAGCTGAAATAAAATAAGCTTGAGTCTGATAGAAATTTATATGATTCTGATGATTATGTTATTCCAGATATTTCTGCATCAAAATTATTAGATAATATTTTAGCAATAGCAATGCATATTGTACTACAATATTAATAAACTAATGTTGACAAAAAGAAGTTTATCTTAATACTTCCAAAGCAAATATTTAAACTTACGTAATTTTTTATGGAGCAAACTATTGTATTTTATACAATGCTTTTTTGATTTTGGTATTTTCATTTCTGGCATGCAGGTCATAGCATCAACTGCTCCACTAACACTGCTTAAACTTATTCCATCTAATAAAGATTAAATTAGATTAATAAACAGTTATTGCTATACAATAGACTTTTGTCTTTTGTATTATTATAGGCAAAGTCTTACCATCATCTGATTCTGGAGCTTCACCAGAAATTATAGTACCACAATAATTAGAAGTTCTTATAGGAGGAAATCCCATACCCTGCATAAAATATTATAATTTGTTTGTATTTTCGTTTTTAAACACTTACTAAAATGGATACAATGTAAAAATGACATACACTAACAATGCTTGCATTGTCTTCATCAGATTCTGGTGCCTCACCCGAAACAACAACAGCTTTTGGATCCATATTAATGTATTGAAATAAGATTTGTAGTTTTTGGATGAAGGTTCTTTTAATCTTTTTTTATATTTTGATACCTTATTAATAAATAAAGGATTTTAATATAATTAGTTGAAAAATAAAAATTATATGTTTAACAAATTCATAATTTTATGTACTGAAACTCATCTTTCTTTTAATAATTCATTACAAAAGTAACACAGATTTTATACTTATAAGTAGTATTAGCAAAATAATGTATAATAATTATGTATGAAAATTAGTATAACCTACGTTTTTAATCGCGATTGTTGTTGTCTAATAAAATCAATTATTGACTGTATCAAATGATTATTGTTTTATGTTATATTACATTTTTGCAACACTGTGCGATAATAATCAACGCAAAGGAATTAATATTTATTTACCACTCGTACGTCTACCAGCAAACTATTTATAACCACAATCTATGATCATTCAAGCATATACTACTTATTTTTATGTGTTTTTAATAAAAGATATTAGGAATTGATACTAATATAATTGTATAAAATTTACTTTTTTAATAAAATTGTCATTATATACTTAATTTTTTTACAGCGATATATATATTTCTTTTTCTTTTTCTAACAGATATATGTATGTGTATATTTTCTACTTATATATAATATTCTTAGTCTTCTAACACAGTATATATGTACATAGTATAAAAAAATAATTGTTATTTACAAGAATATTTAATTTAATTAATATACAATTACAATTAACCACGTAAAATATCTAATTCTTCTGGGGTAACGTGCATTCTCAATTCTTTTTCTCTTATCACATCCTGAACTTGAGTAAGAATTTGAGGTGCAACCTCTGCTGCATCAATGTAAATGCTCCTCGCCCAAGGACACAATGCAACACTTTCATGATATATTTCTTCTCCCTTTTTTTCACATAAATTATATTCTCTGAGGAGAAGCATATATAATCTCCATAACAAAGGGCAGCATTTAATTGTTGGTACCCTGTAAATTCATATTATTTTTTATTCTATAAATACAGTACGAAAAGTTAAGATAAACTAATTAAAAATGTACCTCGCAAGAGTTTGATGAAAATGTAGCAATTTATTAATTGCTGCATTCATACTAACATAATCTTTAAGTTCTTGTAAATAATGAATACGTTTTCGATTTGCCAAACACATAGCAAATGCTCTCCATAATTGAAGTTTTGTCATTTGACTGTTACATTTCCAAATGGGTAGTTCACTCTGACAGATAAATATTATGATAAAAATTTTCAGTAATGTTATTTGAAAATTATTCTTTTGAACACAGTTATACTTACTTCAATGCATGCCAGTATGGAGAGCGCAAAAAAGTTATTTGGATATAAATTTAACATATCATCTAGTTCTATTTTGAAAATGCTTTCTTCTTGAGTCCATTTGCAATGTAATTGTAAAAGTGCGATTTGACTTTCGCGTAACATCTCCTAGAATGTATAATACGTTAAATGCAGAGTGTATATTATGAATTAAACATAAAATGTATATTATAAAAGCAAAGTACCTGTATGTAATGACACCCTTTATAGTGATTTAGACAGTTTTTGAATATACTGATTATTTTATTAACGTCGGAATCTCGTACGTATAGCAAATATGCGTAACAGACAATTGTATCGCATGTTAGGTTTGGTAGAAAATGTGTATCTTCTTCGGTTTCTAAAGCACCTTCTTGTAAGAAATTTTGTACGCAACTTTCTAAATATTTTTCTACTTGTAACAATTGATTTTTTCCTTCAGGTACTATTTGTGCAATAACATTTAGTATTTGTGTTTTATGCATTTCTTTATATGATTCAGAGTTAAGCAAAATTTCAATATATGTTCGATACAAGCTTAGAAGTGCTGATCTTTCATTAAAATTATGAATTGCTTCAGGACATGCACCTTGTGATTGAATGGCCGTTTCCAAAATATTCACACAATTATCAAATTTTCCCATTTCTTTCTCTATTAGTGCATATTCTCTATAGAAATGTAAATTATTCCTATTTTCCTCCTTTTTTAAAAATTCCTTTAATGTTGTTTTCAATTTCTTTCGCCTATACAAAATACGTAACATGCATAAATTCTGAATTTCTCAGTTATAAGAAAGTAACGTAAAATAAATCTTACTTATTGTCATATTTTAATGGATCATCTTTCTGGAGAAAAATAAGCAATCTTTCAAATCTTAACCACCAAACATATATACTTGTACGTTGCAAAGAAGATAAATTCTCAGCAATTGTAAAAAATATTTCGCGTACGAAATCCAAGTATGATTCTTGTGCAGGATGAAACATGAGATACTGAGGACCTGATGTTAAATGCCCTTCAAGTATACCATTTAATAATGCTTTTCTTTGCTCATGACCAGTCATTTCACCTACCATAGGGTAGGCGAAAGGAAGCAATACTTCTGAAGTTTCTATTCCCCAATGAAATTCTTCTAATGCTAACATCTGAAAATATGAAACGAATATTATTAATGTATAATGTGAAATAAATCACAAACTTCTAAATTTTATATATTCGCACGTACTTTTAACATACAGTCTCGAGTAGGTAACAGTGGTACTTTAAGTAGAAGTAATGTATGAATCGCCATTCGAAAATTCAAATTTCTTGAAAGTATAGGATGAACAAAATCCGCGACATCATCTGGCAAAATAAATCTTCGAGAATCACCAACTAATTCTAATTCGTCTCTGCTAACACTAATCCAATGGCAATTTTCTCTCAGTGATTCTGTTCTTTGCCACAATTGATTGAGTGGTAATCTCGACATCAATATCACTTCTTCCATTCCAACTGTAAATTAATAACATTAATGAAGGAGTAATAAAATTAACATTTTTATTAATTAGAAATTACTTTACTTAATTTTTTTTCATCTATTGTTTTTTGAAAGGATAGGCAATTTTTGTCTAAACTAAGATTTAGTATGAGGTTCAAACGTATTGTTTCCCACATTTGTTCCCAAAGTCCAGTATGTCTTAAAAACGTTAGACACCAATACAACATTTCTGTTGATAATAAGTTGAATATTATTATTTCGTTTAATCTAATAGAAAGATGAAATAATTTATTTATTACATACGTAATAATCGTTCGTCATAAATACGAGGATTTGTTCTAGCTTTCTGTTTTAAAATGCAGAAACATTTTGAATATAAATCTAAAACTTTTGGTACTGTACACATTGCTACTGAAGCCTGTGTAGTCATAATAAATTCTTGCCATAAAATAAGATTTCCTGAATCTTTGTTAACTAATGTTTCAAGTTGCTTTGAGAATTCATCAGCTGGTAAAAGTTGTGTCATGAAAGACAACTTTAATTTTAATAATTTTATAGACTCCAAATTTTTCTCTAAAGCTTTTTCAACTATAGATAATTTTTTTAATGCTGTTGCTCTATGAATATCCTTTGCTGTTTGACAATTTTTCATTGTATTCTTTAGTTTTAGCTTTCTGTAATTCTTCTAACTTAATATGCCACACAGGAGTACATTCTTCTTCTTTAGATGAGGTAGAGATAGATTCCTTTCTAATAATGGTATCTTTTGTCTTGTTTTTATTTATATAATCAATATTTTTTGTATAATACCTTTCATAAGTTTCTTTCTTTGATTGTTTATAAGAAAAAAAACCAAGGGTTCTTCTTTTAACATTATAATATGGTCTAACTCTAGAACAAAGTGTATTTACAGTGTTGTTTCCTCTATCTCTGTTTCTATCTTCAAAATAAACATTTTCTACGTCTTTCTCATATCCTGATTTTCCTACTTTTTCATCGGCATATTTTCTTTTTTCCCTTTTCTTTCTTTTAACATGTTTAGACTTTCTTTTTTCTTCTAATATAGGCTTTTCTTTGCTTAAAGAAGGAACAGCATGTGTCTTTTGTTTATGTAAACATGAAAGTTCAGTTTCAGCTTTGTCCAAAGACTCAGAAGAATCATCAGGATAATTGTTAGATGAAGTCTGTTCTAAATAACTAGAGTTGTGTAACCAATTCGTTGAATCATTTCCTATAATATAAAAATAATTATTGTAGCATAAACAGTATCACAATTAATACTAATGTATAAAACATTTTATTAACCTTTTGAACAATTCTCTGATTCATTCGAATTCAGAGATTTATTTTTTTCGCCAGAATAAGCTGGAAACAAAGACATATCTCCTTGAATTTATCCTGCTAATTGTTGTAAATAAGTAACATTTCGTTTTTTATACAGGTTACTTGCATCGGCTGTTTGTCAACAATTTACGACTGTCATCAAGCTTGCATGTGTACTGCAGATTCTAGGAAATTTTTGCAGTAGTTATATAAAGTATTTGATGATTGGCTGAAATGATCACGCGGCAAAGAAATTTAAATCATGTCGCTAGATTGATATGAATTATCGCGATGATTTGTCAGATTCAAGGTCATTGAAGATGGTTTTCACTGTTCTAAGGATAAGCACGTAGTTAGAACATTATAACAGAGTTTCGATGAAATCACTAAGAGATAAGTACGTGAAGACGTCGCCCATCTTGGGAAATCTTGGATTATATAATTTTTTTTATTTTTTATGTAGGAAATTATAAACTTTCCGACCACACAGGTTAGAAGTCACTCCAATTTCTCTTAACTACGTATCATTTAAATGTTTCGTAAAATTAATACTGTAAAGTTGATCTTCGGTGCTGCATATTCATCCACTGAAGCATCTGTTTCACCGAATGTTTCACCTAGAGTGAGTATATTTTCCTTTGTATTCGGAGTATTAATTTGTTTGGGTTTACATTTAATATAGATACATATTCCAGTTTAAGATAATTTCGTAATGTAAACTTATAAAGATCAAGCCACCATATGTTTTATATTTTATTTCATCATAGGTACAGCAATTTAGAGAATTATTAAATAATCCAAGTAACAATGATATACTCACAGATTTGTTCGGAAGACGACATACATATTTACGTATTTCGATTACCGAACGGTGCAATCTTCGGTGTAAGTATCCATTAAATAATCTTTACAATTTCAATTGGAATAATTTGACGAGGCGTTACATTTATTGTAGGTTTATACTGTATGCCAGCAGAAGGAGTTAAGTTGACAAAAAATGATGGTATTTTAAGAATAGAAGAAATAATTAAAATTGCTCATTTATTTGTAAATGAAGGTGTATCTAAAATACGCTTAACTGGTGGTGAACCAACTGTTCGAAAAGATATTGTGGATATTATTGGTAAATAATTTTATTTTTAACATACACAGTATATTGAGTTTCCTGATGTAACAAGAATAATTATTGCAGCTGGTTTGAAACAATTGTCTGGTTTGAAGCAAGTTGCAATTACCACTAATGGATTAACATTAACACGTCAGTTACCATCTCTTCAACGAGCAGGATTAGATGCAATAAATATTTCATTAGACACCCTAAAAGAAAATCGTTTCGAGCAATTTACTCGTAGAAAGGGATGGTCTAGAGTTATGGCTGCAATTGATTTGGCTATTCAATTGGGTTATAATCCAGTAAAGGTAGAAAAAGTTTAAAAAAATGTACACAATTCCGTATATACAGTTACTTATATAAAGCAAATTTTAGGTGAACTGTGTAGTAATGAAAGGTTTCAACGTGGATGAGATAGTCGATTTTGTTAATTTAACGAAAGATCGTCCGATTGACGTACGTTTCATCGAATACATGCCTTTTCAAGGGAACGAGTGGAACGAGAATAAAATGGTTTCTTTTAAAGTAATGAAAAAGCTTATTAGAGATACATATCCTGAGCTGCAACGTCTTTCAAACGAATATAACGATACATCTAAAGTGTGTAACATAGCAAATTACATAACATCTAATTTAATTACATGTATGTTATTAACAAGACTACTTTTTTCAAGTAGGCGTATCATGTACCTGGATTTACAGGACAAATCGGATTCATTACATCGATGAGCGAACATTTTTGTAGTTCCTGTAATCGATTAAGAATAACAGCAGATGGAAATTTAAAGGTTTGCTTATTCGAGGGGAAAGGGGAAGTGTCCCTTCGAGATGCTATACGTAACGGTGCGTCTGACGATATTTTAAAAGAAATGATCGGTGCTGCGGTACAACGTAAAAAGAAGCAACACGCAGGTATTATGTTTTATCTTTAATCTACATGATTCATGAAGGATCATAGCAGGTTGCATCGTAAAATATTCAGCTGTATGTGAAGCGATAACGTTTATATGTTGTCGGCAATATGTGTGTTTCAGGAATGATCAATCTATCCCAAATGGAAAACAGGCCAATGATTCTGATCGGGGGTTAATCGATTATTACGAAACTATTAAGTTAATACGAAACGACGTATCGAAACTATGCGTACAAACGTTATCGCTCGATTTACTTGTGACTAGAGAATTTCTTTTGACAAAACTAACACTTGTTTGTGCTTACAGTTGAAAAGAAACGCGTGTACGTCAGAAGTCACAGGTATTTACAACACGATATACCACATCAGTTTTTAACATTATGCACAGTACCTCGAATTGGAAGTTACGCAACTATAAGAACGGTTTCCTCGCTGTCGCACGTGGATCCAAGTGGGAAAGTGAGCATGGTAGATGTCGGTTCGAAAAACGAGAGTAAACGCGTCGCGATAGCAAGAGGAATCGTACAAGTTGATTCGAACATAAGTAAACTGATAGCTGAGAATAATGTGAAAAAGGGTGACGTGTTGTCTGTGGCACAATTAGCTGGTATCATAGCCGCGAAACGTACTTCCGATTTGATACCTTTGTGTCATCCACTTTCGTTATCCTACGCAAACGTATCCCTACGTTTGAACGAAAAACTGCATCATGTAGAGATTACCGCGGAAATTAGGTGTACCGGTAAAACTGGTGTAGAGATGGAAGCCCTGACAGCCGTGAGTATCGCGGCTTTAACAGTCTACGACATGTGCAAATACGCGGCTTCACCTAAATCAATGAAAATAGCAAATATCGAGTTAGTTTCAAAAACCGGTGGTACAAAGGGTGATTTTTTTAGAAACTAAATATCCCATTCCAGTAGCGTGTAACATGTATGATATATAACGTATGTATATAAAATTTGAGGGATTATAGTTTATTCTGCTCAGCGCGATATCGTTGAATTGTTGGGTATTTTTATATGTTTATATTTGATTATTAAGTAACAGTTGTTATAGTATACGAATTTTATGTACGCGTGTATGTATGTATATCTGTACGTATGAGTGGAGAGTAAGAAAATTTCGGTCGTGTTTTAAACAACCTAGCGTTTCGTATCTTTTTTTGTGTTTTTATCGAGAAAGTCTACAATTTATTCTTTTTTAACACGTATGCATACAATGATTTTACAATCACGTTTCTACGAAATTTCTACGATAAGCGACAAGTGGTATATACACCTATATCTGTTGAAAAAAAAAAAATGATCAAACCGACGAATTATAATATATCTATTGTTTGCAAACCCACGAAATAATTGTGACTAAACATTCTATCCTTCACCTCATAAATTTTCCTAATGATTCTGATGACATTGAGCTTCGAAATGTGTTTGATTTTGATAAAAGCGAGACCGTTGCATAATTAAAAGCAAATAGACGCGTCAGATAAGGATGATAAGAATGGGCTGAGTCGTCGGCGCAATCGCAAATATCGGGAGCATCGCGAGGCGCCACTGCACCCTGATTTTAGCTTTTTCGTTTCCTCGAGCAGGAGTAGCTTTCAGTATTTGGAACGCTATCGAAGCGCGCTGTTCTTCAAGCTGTTTCTTCGTCGTATTTTTCAATGGTCGAGCGTTGAAACGTAGCCGCGCTAATGAGTTACCTTCACGTTCTTCCTTAATAAACAGAAAAGAAAAAATCCACCAAACGTCGCGCCTCTTTCTATCGATAAATTCACCGTTATCGTCGAAATTTCATCCGTTAAATCGCCGATATATTTGTTTTTTCTTTTATAATCGGGGATCAATTGGCAAAAGTATCGAGAGGAAAAGTTATCGTTATCTCGTGACGAGATCGAAGTTACCGACAAATTTCGCGAGTGAAAAATCTTCGTTTAATTATTTGCAAAAACCAAAGAAAAAAAAAAAGAAGGAAAAATCACTTACATGAGTACCTCGAAGAAATTGTTCGGGAGATGGAGGACGAGGAATGGTAACGATCAAAGGATGACGGTGAGATCATCGATGGTTTACGGAGACTCGTCGGAATGTCAAAGGAACAGGGAAAACAGCGAATGAAGATGAAAAAGTTTCGTACGTAAAAAAAATGGCACCGTTCCATGGCATGGCCCTTATATTGCTTGGAATCGGGTACCTGTTACACGCAGAACCGCCTTCCGGTCATCGGAACTTAGGTACAATCAATCTCAAACTGTACAATTTAAAAAATCGCAAATTTCCGCGAATTTTATCATCGATCATGTATTGACGATTATCGAAATTCTCTTATGCGTATCGAGTTTCACGGGACGAGGTCGATTAGAAAAAACAAAAGTCAATTTTTCGTGAAATTCGCGTCGATGAGATGCTCTTAATCGTCGGGTCTCGTGTCGTTTGAAAAAAAAAATAGAAAAAAAAAGGTCGAGATATAGGAAAGGTAAAAAGGTTTCCGATGGTTCAAGCGTGATACCTGAATTTTAGCGGTGCAACGACTCGACGAGGGAAAACCGGACAAAGGGGAACGTTCGCAACGAGGGACGAAGAGGACGTATTTTTATAAAGACTCGACTCAAAAAGTGACCGCCGTTGTGGGACAAACTGTTGTGCTGTTGTGTCGTGTTCAGAACTTGGGGAACAGAACCGTGAGTTTCACGTCACTTTGAATAATAGTGCCGCGTTGCATTCGCTTACCAACTACGTTAGCAACTTCCGAAACAATAACGTCTCGAATCCCAAGAAAGCAACGTTACATCACCGAGTACACGCACACACACACACACCTTCAATTGGATTTACCCGAGATCACGTTGCGCCGTTTACACTTTGCCGAGATATACTTTCCTTTCGAATTGCCGTAGAAACGTCGAAGAAACAATCTCGAGTTTGGAGAGAGAGAAGCAATTTCTTATCGAACGCAAAGCGCGGATCATTAGAAGGATATGCTTGTTTAATTTCGGCGAATTGCCATCTCGATTTATTTGGAATTACGTTTCCCCGGAAGTACACTTTCGCAACTGTAATTACCGCGTAGGCCGGTGGCTGAAATGTTGGGTAGGATGTTCCTTCCGGTAAATATTTCACTTGTATAAGCCGCGTGTACTTACTTACCTTCCACTCTCCGAAGCATCGTGTACCGTACAAATTTCCATCTCTCTGAGAAGAATATTACACGTGTAATTGCAATTGCAACACAATTGGAAATTCTCGAAAGAAAATCTCTGGGAGTAGAAGGTAGCTGAGAAGCAGAGAGGAAAAAAGTGAAAATTATGAAACGCGACACGGTCTCGTTTGTTTCTCTCTCTCTAGTGTAAACGTTCAACCTGTTCGTTAATTAATACGAGGAAGGATTGCCGGCATCTGGCATGAAAAAACATCGCTTTCGTTGCAACTGTTTTTCAAGCAATTAACGCACGCTCTCCTGATTTCCTTAATTAATGGATAAGCGATTAAACGCGTTGCGGTACGAAAAGTCTCTCCTTCCTCTGGCTTCGTCTCGTTTTCTCTCTCCTCCCTTTATTTCACACTGGAGAAAACATCGTTTATCTCTTTCACAATAGAAACGTTCTTTTTCCCCTCTCCGCAACGATTTCAGCACAGAGGTTTCCATACGAGTTTCCGATTCCCGGGATGTAACGTTCGGTTTTCCAATTAGAATCTCCTGCAATCGATTCTGGGTAACGAAACACGAACAGGAAGCGCGTATAACTCGACAGCGTGAAACGGCCTAACCTGTTCGGCTGCATATTTCAAAACGCGATAGAGAAATTTTGACGAAAGTAGGAAAAAATTCGGGAGTTGCGAATATCGCGGTATTTAACAAGGTAGAGAGAGAGAGAGAGAGAGAGAGAGAGAGAGAGAGAGAGAGAGAGAGAGAGAGAGAGAAGAGAATTTTCCGTCTACCTGATCGTCGAAATTTTGTACTAGGTGTCTTGGATTCGAAAAAGGGACTTACACATCTTAACGTCCATGTCGGTGACTTATACGAGCGACGCAAGATTTACGATAGTCGGCAATCCGGAGCACGACGACTGGAATCTACGAATAGATTACGTGCAACCACGGGACGCCGGCATTTACGAGTGTCAAGTTAATACAGAACCGAAGATATATAGGGCGGTTACTTTGAAAGTTTTGGGTGAGTTTCTGTCTCCTCCCGTCGATCCTCTTCCTCGCGATGTTTACGTTCATTTGCCGTGGAAAATGTTCACTTTCGGAACGGTTCCTCTGTCGCGTGCATGTACACTACCGTGCATAAGTATTTGGACACTATGCAGGAAATATAGTTTAAATAAAACTCTCTAATATAGTTTTGGCTTGCAATCTTATCCCAGGCGACCCACGTAATGTTTTTAAATACCAATGAAAATAACATTTCACATGAATTAGTATAAATGAAAAAGCAATAACTGAAATCGACTTCGTGTGTTTCGAAAATTTCATGAAAAATTATTACCCCAATACATGTTGTGCCAACTGTGAAACATGGAGGTGGTAATGTAATGTTTTGGTGCAAATAAAGTGGACAATTTAGTAAGAATAGATGGAATTCTACGAAAAGAAAAATATTTCAATATTTCAGGTGGACACATAGACGAACGCAATATTTCTTAATTTTCATTAATTTGTTGGTACATTTATTATCATATACTATTGGGTTGGCCAGAATGTTCGTGCGGTTTTTCAAGTTGGCTAACGTAACCAAGTTGATGCAAACGATTTTTTACAGTTGTTTTTGATACTTGGAGCTCCTGTGCCACTTCTCGTGTTGTGTAACGAGGATTATTTTTTATTTGTTCGTTGTCAATCTCTCGTGGCCGACCAGTTAGTGAATCGTGAAGTGAAAAATCCCCGGAACGAAATTTCGCAAACCACATTTGGCATACGCATTTTTTGATGACATTCTCCCCGTACACCTCACAGATCTTCTTAGATGTTTGCGACGCGTTTTTGCCTTTTTTAAAATAAAACAGCTTAATGTGCCGGAAATGCTCCTTTTGGTTTTCCATCTTTCAACTTCCGCCAAACTTACCAATTGAACTGGATTAACAAACTCTTTAGATATAATTTGAGGTTAAGTGTTACCTATCAAATGACAAGAAACTGAAGTTAGTTGCACTTTGGAACGCCTGAATTGAGGAATCGCCAGAAACCGCACGAACTTTCTGGTCAACCTAATACATCCTAGATCTTCTACACCTCAACGACATTCATTGTTGAAGTATGAATCTTTTAATTAGATCGCATCGAGTGTCCAAATACTTATGCACGGCATATACTTATGCCTACGAAACTTTCCGACGGATTAGAGAGACGAGGGCGCCAGTCTACTTTGCGTAATCTTCAACAGCTTTCGAATAGCTTTTTCGTAAAGGTCCGGCTGTTCCAGTTAACGTTCGAGCGTTCAAATCTTCCTCACCGTCGCAACAAGTATCGGTTCTCCTCCTCCTTCAGTACGTTTTCTTCCAGGTTCCTTCTTTACTTGGCTCTACTTGTCGGTTCGAGTAAACGAAACTGGTTAAGAATACGTTTCACCTATTCGAGAGCATCTTTTATTCACCGATACTTTATTATACTCGCGAGAGTTGGAATTATAAGCTTCCTACCGATGAACTTTTAAGCCGAACGAACGGCGATAAAGTTTTCGGCGAACGCGTTAATTCGCGTCGCAGATTTCACGGTGAAGTTTCAAGTTTTCTTCGTCTCGTTCGTATATCAGATGTGCAGGCGAAGATCACGGGACCAGAAGACGTGTACGTGAAGAAAGGTAGCACGATCAGTCTCACCTGTATCGTGAACGTGCAGGATATTCCTCCGAGCAACGTGACTTGGTACCATGCCGGCGCGGTGATCGATTTCGATGGTCCAAGGTGTGCAATTTTCCTTTTTTTTTTTCGTTGTGTTTAACAACGTTGTTCTAGTCTATCTCAATTATTTCTCAGTTATCTGTTAGGTCGTCCCGGAAGTTCGTGTCGAAAGCAAGAAACGTTTGAACGAAAGTCCGAGAAAATACTATAGCGACGACATAGTGATCTTACAAGGGAACTTCGGTAACCCGAAATGTCCGATTTTTTTGAAACTTTGTGGGTTTATAGGGGACCTCGGTAGAAGTATCGGGCAATATTTTTTATCGGCCCAATTTCTGTTCTTCGGGGTGAAAACAGCCCTTGAATGAAGATAAGTGTACCCTATTTCCCTGTATATCTTTAAAACTATAGTAGATATAAAAAAATGTTTATAATAAAAATTAAATGGCCTTGTATGCCTTATAAGACTGTGCTATAAAAAATCTTCCACTACCGTTGTGAAAAATTTTTCATTTTCTATCATATCGAAAAATATGTCAAATAATTTTATATTAAATATTAATTTATATAAGTGCTGTCATCGTCGCACTTGGAACGATGCGTTATCAGGTACCAAGTATGTGTGCGAATCTTTGGTATTTTTTTTTTAATCTTTCTTTGGTACTTTGGTATTTATTTGCATTTATTTGACATATTTTTCGATATGACAGAAAATTAAAAATATTTCACAATAACGGTAGTGGAAGATTTTTTATTTAAAAAAAGAATTTTTATTAATTTAATAGCACAGTCTTATAAGGCATAAAAGGCCATTTAATTTTTATTATAAACATTTTTTTATATCTACTACAGCTTTGAAGATATAACAGGGAAATAGGGTACACTTATCTTCATTCAAGGGCTGTTTTCACCCCGAAGAACCGAAATTGGCCGATACTTCCCTCGAGATCCCCTAAAAACCCACAAAGTTTAAAAAAAATCAGACATTTCGGGTTACCGAAGTTCCTTTGTTAGCAAGAGGAAAGAAAAAATAGAGAAGAGTTGTGGAATGAAAGGTGTTCAGGTTTTTTTTATAAAATTTAAAGATTCGTTGGAAATATCGAATACTACAGCGACGTCATAATTAATGGTCGTTCAAAAAAAGAAAAAGAAAAAATTAGAGAAGAGTTGTGGAATGAAAAGGCGCTCAGGTTTTTCTTATCAAATTTAAAGATTCGTTGGAAATATCGATCTAAATTATAAAATTCGACACGAATTTATGGGATGATTTAAAGAGCTTGGGAGTTTGCCTCTGGAAGGAATGCGGGTCTGCCTTCTCTGACACAGTTGTAGAAATAGGGCACACGTATCGTCATTGTTGACTGAACGCGATAACATCGACGAATCGAATCGTATAGCACCGCGTGGCGGAAGATTCGAGCGGCGCGGGCAAAGTTGCCCTTTTTTGCCCGCGAGCCGCCCCGGGGGCAAACTCTTGAGCACCGCACGTTACACCGTTTCTGTAGCCTCACGATCACCTCGATTATCCGAAATCGCGACGATTATCACAGGGAAGCGATCGAAAAATCGCCTCGAACGTTACTCGAATTCGTAATAATGTGTTTGTACGTTCGATAGGGGTGGCGTGTCCCTGGAAACGGAGAAAGGTAAGAACGGGACTACCAGCAAGCTGCTGATAACACGCGCTCACATCGAGGACAGCGGCAATTACACGTGCGTCTCGAGCAAGATTGCCCCGGCTAGCGCGATGGTTCACGTGTTGAACGGTGAGGATAAAGCTTCTTCTCCGTGAAAGACGAAGGAAGAGAGAGAGAGAGAGAAAAGAAAACGCCCGCTTTATTCCATCAAACCCTCAAGATCCCTTAGTTGAAGCATCAAAGCGGCGTCGAGATACCTTAAGAACATCTCGCGAAAAGACCCCTGCTGAAAGGTTTACCAGAGGAAATTTCACCGGAGTACTTTCGATCGCTTCGTTGCATGTCAAAGTTCGTCGTGAACGAGTGGATAGTTACACGGGGTGAACGAAGAGAAAAAGGGGAGAAAGAGAAGGAAACCGAAGGTGGGGGTGGAATGAAAAGAGGCGGAGAGAGAACATTTCAGAAGTTTACGAATGCGATAAATGTTAGAAAAAGGGGCGAGGGAGGGGAAAGAAAATCGCGTAGTTCCTCTCGAACGTGTGCCTGTACGTTCGTAGGAGAGAAACTCGTTATAGTTTTCTCGTTAGAGCGTTAATGAACAAATCGGACCAAACACCGAGAGGGACGAGGGGTGGTCGGAACGAAGAGCAAGCCGCGAATTGAAATTATATAAATTCGGACAGAGCTGAATTCGCACTCACTCTCTCGTTACGTAAATTTCGCTTGTCCGGTGAAATATTTTCGCGAAGCTCTCCCTCGAAAAAAGAAGAAAAACCGAAAAAAAAAAGAAATTTCCTCCGCGTCCGATGTCCCAGTTCCCATGAATCATCCCGACGATAGATCAGAACGGACTTTTCTTTCCAGGCGAACATCCCGCGGCGATGCAGCACGGTGGCACCGGCAACATCAACAAGAGAGCTATTTTATTCAGCCTGGTCCTGCTAGTGGACACGATCTTTCGGTGAACGAGCATCTCTTACCCGAGTGGCTGTCTCCGTCAAGGCGTACACCATCGTCGTTCTCGCCAACCCTTGCTCCACATCCAGATGCAGACACGTCCAGAGAAGAGGAGAGAGGAGACCCGGTGTGTGATTTACGAGCTTCGACGTTTATCGCGCGAACTGAATTTTCTATGAATCCAAAGGGAGAGAGAGGGAGAGGGTGGGAGAGAAAGAGAGAGAGAGAGAACTCCAGAACCCGAAACTCACCGTCGAAATACATATTGTACTATGGAGAGGAGAGACGACTCGTTACAGAGCGCGTCGTGCGGCGAATTTGATGCGTTTTCGATCTTGTCGTCAGACCTGTGACACTGTAACATTCCTGTAGAATAATAAACACATTCGCTGTTCGCCTGTGTACATGAAACAAAAAAAAAAAAAAGTAAAAAGAGAAAACGGAGTAAAAGAACGATTTGTTAATAGACACAATACATCTGTCAATTAACACTGGTTTATCACGTTTATTCGTACATCGATCTCCTCCGATTGCCGCGTTGAACACGCTGAACGCGTGTCTCTCCGTTCGTCATCGATCGCTTCATTTTTCCACATTTCTCTTTTTTTCACCTCTTTTTCGTTCGCTCTGTCGAAAACAGAATAGCAAGTGCGAGTCGGTTTTTAAGTTAATTTCCATGTAACGTCGAAGTATCGACGCGGTTCGCACGATTAACTGGATTATCGGTATTAAACCTGGGCCACGTTTTCCGATAATGGAAGGGACAGTTTTGCAAGTACAGCTGCGCGTGGACCGGAAGCAACGCGCACACGTTGCGAACGCTGCTCTCATTTTATGGAAATCGCGGAGGAGCGTCTGTTAGGCGATCGCCGCGAAACGGAGACGAGGACGCATCGCCTGATGCAAATTTATGGGAAAACGGACCGTTCGTCCTCTGCGACCGTGCAAGCGATGCGACGTTTCCCTCCTTTCATCCCTTGCGTCGTCCAGTTTCGCGTGGAAAATTTTTGGAAAATTTTTCTGCAAAATTAACGAGCTCGTGATTTGTCCCTTCTCTTTGTCTAAACACCGGCTTAACGAAGTAAACGCGAACTGGACGACGAAATTGAACAGGTAAGGCTCCTCTTTCTACGGAAGCTTTTTTTTCCCGCGTTGCTTCTTTTTTCACGTACAACGAGAGTGGTTAAGCAACGCAGATTCAGCGTCCCGATTATTAAGCTAATAAGCTCGCGCGCTGATCCTTTCAGGTCTTTATCCTGTTTATCCAAGCATTTAAACTCTCGTATAATATCTTGCGAGCTGGGCTCGAAATCTCGTATGAATGTGCTCGGTGTATAAAGCGGGCGAGTCCGGTGCCGCTTTGCACTCCTCTCCCTTTTACGGAGAAAACTGAACCGAAGTAAATAGCAGCTCGACTTGCAATTTCTTCTACTTAGAATCCCGCGACGAGAATTTCAATTAAACGGAAACGAACTCTTTTGTATTACCACGAACGATCATCGTTCTACGTGACGAAGGGGAAAAATGTCCTAACTATCCAGATCGTTCTTTCACAAATCGACCAAATATGACCTTATTCCACTTCGATTCTCATTCAAAACTCGACGAAACTACTGGTATTCTCTCGCGGAGAGAGAGAATGCCCCAAGTTCCGTCTGGTAATTGGTGTTCCACAAGAGAGAAGGAGAGAACACGTTAATGGTCGGATTCGAAGATCGTTCGTCTAACAAACGATTTTTTTCCTCCTTTTTCCCCCCCTCGAAAACGTTTCGCGAACTCTGAGTTTAACGAGATTCTGAACACCGTTTGTTATCCGTGAAAGTTAAGTTCCCGGTAGATTTAAGAGCGGCACCTGTAAGCTCGCTAGACGACCGGAGTTTTAGCGAATTTGTTATACCAGAAGATACTCGGCACATTCACAGAGAGCGAGAGAGGAGAAAGTCTATAGGTAAGTTTCTTCCTACGGTATCTAACGACTCGGCCAGCTCGAAGTTAATGAGCTCGAACAAGGCGACCGTAATTTTCCAAGCACTTGGTGCACTTTGTTCCGGCTCGTCGACGAGAGGATTACGAATTACCGATCGATGAAAGTATCCGTACAATTACCTCTCCGTGAGATTCAACCGGCCTGGACGAGCGTGGAAACTTGCACGTTTGCAGTTAGCAAGTTTTCCAGGAAAATCGATAACACTTCTTCTTCCTTCTTCCTTCTCCGACACTTCTTTCGACGCATTGTCGGGAATTCTATAGTTTTCATTGAGGAGAATGGGATCGCCGATGGTTGTCACGTAAGCACGGAGAATGCAAGTTGAATTATACGAGGAATGCACTGTACACGCAAATATCGGTTTTACCGAGGATAAGAAGAGTGGAACGCTTCTCTCTCTCTCTCCCTTTTCTTCGCGAGAACTCGCAATAAAAGCGGCTGGCATAAATCAACTATGAATTCTTCTTCCCTCCTCCCCCCCCCCATCGCTTCTTTTTCCTCGCGTTCGTTCGCGTATCACGGTGCATTCGAATCGACAGGTTTGCTTTAAAAAAGATAAGGCGCCCGCCGATCCTCCTCCACTCCGCCTTCTTCTTTCCATCGACTTAACGCCGCGATACATTTACGATTAATGGAGATGCATCAGCCCGGGTCGTAACGATTTCTTTCTGTCTTTCTCGAGAGAGAGAGAGAGAGAGAGAGATAGAATACCATCGGCTTCGAGACGCCGATCCTCGAGATTTCCTCGACGCGGAGGAAAGTACGCCCGCGATAATTAGGACAATTTTCAACTTTCAATCGGAACTTTCGCCTGGATTCGAATTATCATCGTTATCGGAGGAAAAGGAGTTCTTCTTTTTGTCGGAGATTTGTCGAACGGTTCGTTGTCATTTTGCACACGGCGTTGTTATTATTTTAGCGCGAGAAAGTTACGGAGAGTTATTTCCTCGGGAAAAGTTTCCTCCGGGACGATCGCGATAATGTATATTACGCAGTTGGAGGAGGGAGAAATTAATTGAAAGGACGAGGAAGAAATCGATGAGATTCCTTCCTCTACTTTGATTCCTCCTTTTCTTTCTGTACGTAATTCTGCCTGGAGGAGTATGGAACGATGGAAATTGAAATGAAAGGCAAGTGTTTTGAAACGTTTTGCTTTTTGTCGCTAACTCGATTAGAAACAGAAATACGTCGCCTGTTTGAATTTTTCTTACGAAGCTCTGTAGGAAAACTTGGTAGAGGATAAGGCGGAAAAGGAAAGGTTATTAAGGGCGTTTTCGTCCTGGGCCTCCTAGTGGACTCGTCGGTAAGGCTTTCTAGGAGACCCGTGCCTTAGACACGAGAGGGACTGATGTCAGAAGTTGTATATATACAAATAGGAGCCTTTATAAGGACTAGCGAGAACTTGTGGTTAGTCCGTCCCTCTGGTGGCAGAGCGCAGAACTGTCGTTACACTTACATTTCGCTACGAAATTTGTGTTTGCATATAAACGACAAAAAAGTTACTACCTTCGCAATATTTTATTTTATTCAATTCTTTCCTTAGGTGTTCGTAATTCCCCTACTCGTCCAAGATTTCCTTCGCGGTTAAGCCTCCTTTATTCCTTTCTTTCGCGTTGTTCTGCAGCGTCTCGGATAGACATAGGAGCCTGGTTCGAAATGTGAATTCGCGCACCGAGTTGGTGGGGAAATTGAATTTGGCCTTTATATCGAGTCCAGCTGGGGGAAATTGTATTTACGAGCCAGACGATATCCATTGCCGTGCACGATGAAACTTTTATACCTTGTTTAGCTATAGAGAGCATCCCACTTTCTTCTATCCCGCGAATCGAGTCTAACTTCTCACTCAACGGCGATTATCAACGAACTTTCCGTTGTTCAAACGCTTAGACGAGAATTTCAAAAGTGGTGCGGTTTAATTTATCCTTCGACAGCATGAACCAGCAGCAGAACAAGCAAGCCATCGAGTTCCGTTCCTCGAAGACGAACTTACGAAGGCCGAGTATGAAACAAGTTCAATTTCCCGAGGTGATTGTTCGATAGTAACAACGACACGTATACGAGAGGTGTATCAGGTTAATTCGCGTTTACGTTGCCCGCTGAAACCATTGGTATCGTAACGAATGGTTACAAATATCGAGGTACGCGTATATTTCGCTACAGAGGTTTGTCACATTTTCTCTTTTTGGCTTCCGTTATGTATGAATTTGTGCAGGCGTCACGATCTTGAGGATGAAGCTCAACCCTTTACTGGTTGATTAATTGATCAACCCGCTACGGCAGATTTTAACGCGTAACGTGGGTGACCGACGGTAAATTTTTAACCGCGGCTGCAAAATTTCTTATTTTGGGCGTATCGTTTTGAAAATTTAAAATTCGGTTTAATCAAGTAAGGTGGAAGTGCGTAAAGGAGAAAATGAAGTTATTTTCAGCCGTCACAGTAGGGAGACCCTTTAACTTATGTCACATTGGCGAAATTAGAAGCTCCACCTCAACGTCTCTCCTGGCAAGGAGGTGGAAATTTCTTGGATTTTCCTGCTTTTCCTGACGCTTCATCGGTGTGACCACGAGCCTCTCGCGCGTTATAAAATAATTTTCAGCAATTAAAGTCTCTAACTTGCAACAATCGTGAAACGTCTAAAACGAAATTCTCGACAGCTGCAAGCTTGTTTCTACTAACGACACTCGTGAACCGTGCTCCGCTACAGTATCTATCGTTTCAGATTAAGAAGAGGGCGATGTCAGGCATTCTCGGTCTCTCCCAAAGTCGCGTGTTCTTCCACAAACGTGGCGATCGTGGCAAGGTACGTGAAACGATTAGGTAGAAATATATTTCGGTAAAAGGTCGACGTCGTCGAGGAAACCCAGTCACAGATTAATCGACGCTCTGTCTCGTACGGAAACATGCGCAGGTTCCCAAGTATCAGAACACCTATCGGCTGGAACCGTTTCATTACTTCGACATCGAGGTGGTCGATAACATGGTGAAAGACATAATGGAGAGTAGACTGTCCTGGACGACATCGTATCATCCGAATCAAATGGCGAAATTGTCCTTCGAGATTGGAGCCGAGTTGCAAAAGGCACTCTGCAAAAAGGATTACGATAGGTAGTAATGCTCGACACGTTCGCGTTCCACGCTATAAACGCGAGAAACGTTTGCGATCCCGGCGACTCTCAAACTGCCTCTCGTATTTTATCGTAAATTCTTTCGCAACACCTTCCGCCCCCTCCCTCCTCCTCTCCTCCACGGCTAAACAATCGTTTCTCTCTTGTGTTTTTCATTTGAAATTCAATGCTCGAAATCCAGGCTGCGAGAGAGTCCAGTTGCATCGCGAGCGCCGGAAATATTTCTCCAGGTTTGCTCTTGGAAGAACTGTTTCCGCTCGAGGACCGGTTCTACCTCGCGCACTACAGAGAATGCATATTGTGTAACGCTTGTTCTCTTCTTGTTACAAGGTACAAATTAGTGGTACAGGTGACTATAGTTCAACGTCTTGATCAAAGTATCCACGCGGGGTTTCAGTGCCTTTGGGACGTGGACCGGGACAATTATTCCTACTATGTTTTCCAAAACAACCATATCTACGCGTGGTGTTGCGTGTTCGCTACGTACTTCGAGTGAAATGTCCCTTACAGTTACAGTTAAATCGTACTCCGCCGTATTTCTGATGTATTCGTTGCAATTTCGAAATAATTCTTGACGATACGCGCAGTTTGCGCTCTTTTTCGCAACGTACAACGTTCCTCGCGCGCATAATCACGGGAGTAAACGTCGCGAGTTTTACGAGGATTACGAGGACATCAAATTTATCGGGGGTATTTTTTGCAACAGCGCGTCTCACGCTGGACGGCGATCCTTTTTTTATCGGTTCGACCGGAAATTATCGCGACGCGACACTGTCAGAAACGGGGAGAAAGAGGGGGATGTGAAATTTGAAAAAGTTGTATTCGATAGAGAGAAATATATACATGCGTAACTATACATTGCGTGTACAGTGAATCCTCTTGTAACACGGTGGAAAAATTGCGATCGTCCTCCTTTAGCACGATATTCTTTCAACCCCTTAACTTATAGCAACCTGTCAGACTCGCGGAAGAGATTCTGGTGAAGATGTGGCAAAAATAGTAATTTAAGAGTATTATAGCTTTTGGGTGTTATTAATTGAGGCTTCCGGGTGTGCGCCGTGCCCAGCAGAAATTATATTCCGACGTTTCACCAGCATTGCAACTAGCTTCATCAGGGTCTGAAGACGCAACTGATAATGGTGTGCGTCAGGGTGTTCACTCCTGTAAGCACCCATGTTCGTTTAAATCAATTAACCCCTCAGCGACCGATGTCGCCGAACGAAAACTGTCCTTTGCGGCCCGCAGTAGATAGCTTACCTTAGTGACACACCCTGTATATATATCTGTGTCGAGTTAATTCGATGTCCGCGAACCAGCCAGGGTGGAATTGTTGGGAAAGTAGCTCGGAAAAAAGTTGCCGATCGATTATCAAGTAACCATACAGTATTAATATTTATTAGTTTCGCAACTCCGCCCTTTTCTCTACCTTTCTCTTTACCCACCGTTCTCTACAGCTCCCGTGGCCAGCCTCCCGTTCATTTTTCTACGATGATTTATCGGGAAACTTTCGGTCGGCTCGTCTACTCCTCGTTGGAATAATAGCCGGCGATTTAAAGTTTCGGAAACATGTCCGATATTTTTATAGATATTCGCGGACTTATTGGAACACTGCAGCCGACCGATATCTCCTCGTTCGATGCTCAACAAAGGACCGCGTAATACCACCGAGCACGTTTGATGAGCCTCCTCGTGCAAAAACACCGTAACACTGATTTGCCTATTATACGATTGTATCGCAGTGGAAGGCAATTTTTATTACCAGCTCGAAATTACCTCGAATTAATCAACGATCTGTTAGAGCCAGAGTACTTTTTTCAAGGGTCGTCGAAGGTAAATGACCCGCTGTTTTGCTTTCGTACAATTTATGGCAGAGGGTATACTTGACCTGCGTTTGGCCAGAGAGAACGTTTGCGATAGGGCTGATTGTTTAGAAAAACGTAGGAGAAAGTTTAGGGATGGCAAGCAGCTCGACGTTGCATTTCTTTAAAAATAAGAATGTCGTTCGTAAAGGATCCGGCCACGGAGTGGGGAAGACGACGGTCTTCTGTGAGAAACAGCACGGCACTTACCCCAGAACATTCCCGACTAGAATTTCAGTTAGGCATGCCTAAAGACGAATGTGGGCCTAATGCGGAAACGATTAGGCACACCTAAATGCTGCAAGCCTAATCGTTACCGCATTAGGTCCTAATTCGGAAGGAATAATGCATGCCTAAGTTGGGCATTCCTAACAGTTGCCATACGTGGCCCAAATGGGGGTGGCCGAGCGCACGCCTAAGTTAGGCATTTCTAACAGTTGCCATACGTGGAGGCGAGGGCCCCGCCCTCCGGACTAGACGCACATGGGGCCGCGAGGGGCCCGGTCCCTCCCCAGGCGGCTCCTCAGGGAAGGGGCGGCACCGGGCGTGGTCCCCCGGCGCCGCCGAGCCTACGGGCGGAGTAAGGATGTGGATTGCGGAAGTGATACAAAGTTCCCGCGGCCCTCTCTAGTGCGCCCGACGAGGATCACCGCGGGGGTTTCAGTGGGTAAGAATCCCACACTACCCCGCCTCCCTCCCCTCGGGGGAGATGGGGTGTTTTTGGAAGATTTCCCCCGCGTCCAAAAAAAAAAAAAAATTGTCATACGTGGCCCAAATGGGGGTGGTCGAGCGCACGCTTAGGTTGAGTCAATCCACACGTGCGTATAACGGCACTCTCGGCCGAGGGTTGACCTGGTGGGAATTTCCGACGCGTCACCGAAGGACAGCGAGGATTCCACGCACCCGCAGGTAGGACCCCACTCCTTCGAAGGAAAAGCGCGCTAAGGGCGCAATGGAAGGGTGGGTGACACTCAAGGGGCACGTTGATTGGTAATTTGTACTTTCATGAAAAGCCAATCAGCGTGCCTTCTTGCACTTGGCGGGGGAGTCACTGTGGACTCCACAAAAAATCGGCGATCGAGCAGTATTCGCAAAGATTCTCTCGAGCGAACAACACATACATCTCCAGCCGTTCGAGGAGACACATCAGAGCCTATCATTAGAGTCAATCTAAATCGAGACTTCACCATTTGCGTTCGACTACGTTCTACTGCGTTCGAGTAGAATAGATATCCAATCAGTTATCCAAGATTAATTTGGCGGGTAACAGTCGCGAACGTGAGTTTTTGACACTACACTTGCATTATCATTTTAAATACACTTTCCGAACCTGAATCAGAAATCCAAACCACAATCCCACATATCGTTATTATTATATTCGAGAAGTTGCAAGAATTTTCAGATAATGGTCAATTAACTCGTTGTCTCGTGATCTTTTTACGCAAGCGACGACACACTCCTCCTGCCTCACCGTGTTCCCATTACAGAGTACGGTGAAACTGGCCGCGTCTACGACCTATAGCCTCGCCGATGCCGGCAATTTCCGGGGCCCGTAGATTTTTCGATAATACGATTACAAGAAATACAAGCGGCCCCTTAATGACCCGGCTGGAAATTACGGGGAAATGTGTGGCGCGTCGCTCGTTAAATTAATGGCGCAATTTCAGCGTCGTGCCGTGCGAAACGACGCGGGCTTGTCGCGTTTGCGAAAGGCACGGGAAGATCCGAGGCAAATATTTGCATCCGCGTTCTCTTCTTCTCTCCTCCGATTATCCTCTCGAAAATTCATCCTTCAACCTCCTCTTCTTCCGTTTCCTTGATTAATTAGACAAATCTAACGGTTGATCTTGTTCAAAGTCGCGATCCGTTTACTCCAACAAGGTAAAACGCGAACGAAAGGAGATGCTTGAACTTGAACGCTGCGACCGTTTTGCCTCGACACGCAGCTACCCAGTTACAGCTAAGATTTATACGGTTGCATCTAGCCGGGTTTAAATTGCTTTTCCTTCCGATGTCGTTTCGAAAAAAGCGCCAGAGAAGAAGACGAAGAAGAAGAAGAAACGGAAGGAAAAAAGATTTATTCGCAGTGCAGCTCGTTTCATTCACGTTGAAACCGCTAGCTTTTCCGCTGCTCCGCCATCGAAAACTTCGCAATGGGTTCTCGCCGTATTGCGGCGCATTTTCGCCGACGCGGAGCGAATAAAAAAATATAAAAGCATCGCGTGAATACGCGGTAGTGTGTTTCGACACGTAGAAGATCACCGATCGGACAGGAATTTCCATTCGTCGGGGATTCAGATGCGAGAAAGAGGCGAGCTCGGGAGAGAATTTCCTCTCTATAGCTTTCCGACAAGAAAAGTTGATCGACGTGAGAGGCAGCGGGACAATCTATCACCGGGCTAGTTCTGTTACTGGTTTCGACGTAAAATCAATGACGATCCTCATTTCCATGTAAATTATCTCCGACATAGGTCGCTGTCGAAAGCGGCAAACCGAGGCATAGTAGACTTTTCCCATGCAGTCGTCGTTCCCGCGCATCGCGTCTTCCCCTTTTCCTTCTTTTTTCTCCCCATCGCGACATGAAAAAGAACTTTTGCCCGTTGTAATCGGATCGTCGTCGTGTCAAGGCTTAACAAAAACGTAATTAAACTTTGTCGGTTAAAAAAGTTCTCCCTCGGTGGCAGACCACGCGCACACCGCCTCTCTTGTTTGTACCCTTCCTTCTCTTTTCTTTTTTTCGCGGCCAATGTGCTGGCGTGGCCGGTCCTTTTTAATTGGCCGCGTCATCGGGTCAAGATGCAACATAATTTACAGCGACAATCGATAGCAGGCGTATCCCTCGGGCTTATCGAATTACCGACCCAAGCAGGTCACCGGACTATTTTCCAGCCGAGGATTCACGGATCGATTGAACTCGCAACCGAATCACCGCGCGCGTTCGGTCAGAGAGACTCGAACTTAGAATACGGTTACCGTCGATTCAGGATCGTGTGGCGATCCAATCGACAGCGTGCGATGCAATACGATAGAGTCTCTCCTGTTCGAAATCCGGTTATAATTCGGTTTCCACGAGGGCTGACAGTAGTCGGGATAGAGGAAGTCGAATTACAACCTCGTCCAGCCTGGATTATACGTATGTATATCTTTTCTACCAAGTGATATATGTATTCCGTCGGTTCACCGGATCCTCATCGGAACAAAAGGTAACGAGAGAGAATCGTTGTAAATAAATCAACGAAGGAAATAATGCAGTAGGTAGGGGAACGGTAACAAACTGTGTAATTGTACGCTCGTTATTTCCTACCGAATGCAAACTCTATCATCGACCGAATTATCACGATCATTTGTAGAACAATCGAATTTCATATATACGCGCGAACGGTTAATTAACTCTTGCCGTTTTAATTATTAAATCAGCTTAGTCGACTATCCTTCACAATTTCCCCCGTTGGTGTATATGCACGTGGTAGAAAAATAACTGCAGCATCGTTGCGCTGCTTTATACACAAGCGTAACCGAGGCAAACTTGTTTCTCCTCTGGCCGGGGGTGGAAAAGAGAAAAAGGAAGAGAAAAGAGGTTCGCGGAGATGAATAGTTTTCGCCGGTGTAGATGGAAACTATCAGCCGGGATATCTAC